CAGATAGAAGCCGAGGAAATAGAGCTGGAGATGCACAGACTGAAATTAAGGCAGCGGCAACTGTCCTTAGAAAGACGAATAGCATTAGGCAGCCAGCAAACTAGTGACGAAGAAGCTGAAGCACATGTCCAAGCCGAGGCCACACAGAAAAACCATTTGGACTCCGTCAAAACGTACCTGGAAGGATGTCAAGCAACCGCTCTAGTCGATGGGAATCAGAACTTTTTCCCAAAGGTAATAACACCGCCAATTCAGGCCACCGGATATCGAGATTGCTAAGTTTGATGGAACTTCGAAACGGGGTTTGAAATCATCATCAATGTACGGTAATAACGTGAAAACGTTCATTGATAGAATTTGCCTACCGATTTGTTATCTCAGTCGTGTGATCATTCAACCGATAGTTTTGCACCTCGTTTCCTTCACGTGGTTTATCGTTCTCATTATGTAGCACATTATGTAGCACCACAAGAATGTTGCGGCATTTATACATAATTTTACATCTTTACACCTCCTTTAATTCCTACTTCGTATTAAATGTACTATATGTAAATTTAGAAACGCATACCAACGCTGTTTATATCACTCGATTATATAAACACATTACGACGCGCAAAATTCAAAGACTCTAACGGACAACGTGAACACACCACTCAAAACGCTTACGTTTCAGACACGCTTGCTTGAAAACTTTGGTTGTACGTTTTTATTTCATTATATGTGATCATACATGTATTATAGAGCCGTGTCTCAAAAATTTCGATTCTGCATCTTTTATCCGTTGGGACGCGAAGTGAACCAAGTATCGAATCGGACTTAGGAAGGAAACTCGCAGCGAAGTCGACTGGAACACTGTAGGAGATATTTGCAAGAAGTCGATTAAGGACGACCGATTATTTTCTACAATCACATGCTTGAGACTGACCCATACACTCAATTGAAAGAAGCGTAATCACCCGCACAGCTGTGTCGGATGAACTTCCTTCAGATGAGTTGTATGGGGACCTCGAAATTGGCGACCGTACCCCATCCCAGTTGTCCTATCTAACAGTTTGTTGGATGAAATTGCACTGGCCTCGGATAAAATGTTTGAAGCAAACCCAGCTTTGCATCACATCACCGCTTGCTCCAACCCAACCCCGACCGCCCCTCGCTGTGATGATATCACTTCTCGAATGGGAACCCTTGAACTGCAGATGCAGCAATTGGTTCTTCACCTCTCCCGTTCACGATCATTCAGCCGCAGTCGAAGTCGTAGTCGCTCAACTTCACAAACCCGCAGAAATCACCCGCCAGCCAGCTCCAACCCTCAACATTGCTGATACCACCAACAATTTGGCCGCAGAGCCGAGAAATGCACCCCACTGTGTTTGTTCACCTCACAGGGAAACCCCAAAGCCGAACAGTAATGACGGCGCCTGTTTCCGGCATCCTTCCCAGTCGTCTTTTATTCATCCAAGACCAAAGCACGGGTATCCGATTTTTGATTGATACCGGTGTTGAACTGAGCGTGATTTCCCGTACGGCACACTACCGCCACCTTCGACCAACCGCTATCACCCTACAAGCAGCCAACGGTAGTCGCATTCCCACCTACGGCCATCGCTCCATCACCCTCGACCTCGGTTTAAGACGGCAATTCAGGTGGACTTTCACCATCGCTGACGTCCACACTGCAATCATTGTTGTTGATCTTTTGTCTGCTTTTGGTCTCGTTTTTGATGTTAAGCAGCAAAAACTACTCGACACCACCTCATTATCTGTCAGTGCTCGTGCATCACGCATTTCTTCCATAGGATTCCGTCTACCCGAACCCGAGTCATCTGTCTTCTCCAATATTCTTCGGGAATTTCCAGAGTTGACATCACTCTCTAACGAACCTGTGAGTGTTACACACGAGGTGACCCACAGCATCATCAACAAAGGTCAACCCGTCACCGCCAGACCTCGCCGACTCACACCCGAGAAATTGGCCATGGCTCGCGCAGAGTTCGACCACATGCTCCAGCTTGGTATCATTCGTCCATCCAACTCCTCTTGGTCGTCCCCACTGCATATGGTACCCAAGAAAACTCCTGGAGA